GAACTGTAATTCTGCTGTTCTGTAAGCTCGTGTGTGGTGTCCGTTAAAGGATTCAGCGTGTAATAAAGCAATAAAAGCTTCTGATCAGGCTTAACAAAGACAAAACACATAAATGTGAAAGAAGTACCGATGAGGATGTGTTCTCAAGCTTTTTTTATTATTTCTCACATCTGAACCCGTCACGCAGGGTCTCGCTAAACCACATGTTCACACATTTAATATAGCCCATACACAAAGTTAGCGGCAGATTTAGAGATAAAGCTGAATGTAGGCTGAGAGCATTGCAGCTCCGCCTGACCCCTCAGTGCAGCAGCTGCAGCTTCTCTCAGCTAAAGATCAGCCCCGCAGGTATGAAAGTCGGAGACAATATCGATATCCATGTGATGACAACAAGCGAAAGAAGGGAAAAAGCAGCGAAAAAAGAGCTGTTTTTCATCGAGAGGCATATCAAAGAAAGAGAAAGTGCCCGTTCAAAGCGCACGTTGCACTCTCCGCTATGTCAGCAGTACAGCTTCATTTTCACCTGCTCACAGAAGAAAACTGGTTGCTGTTTAGTTCTGTTTTTTCTGCTCAGATTTGCAGCAATTTTGTGGTGCAAAAATGAGAGTCAGGCTGTTTACTGTTTGTTTTGGGTGTCTGGTCACTGCAGAGCATTCTCACTGATAACTGCACGAGCCTTTACGCTGTTAAATATTTCGATCATTTAAATGCTTTTTAGAAACACGTATAAAGGAGACCCCCACTCACAGCCCCAGAGAGGTGAGAAAATATCACTTATAAAGCGACCGCAAACTTTGATGACTATACTCAGCTGCAAACTGTATTATAGTCAGTAAAAAAGAAGACTATTATTAAACATTTTCTCAATTCTGAGAGCAAAAAATAAAGAACTACATATAAAATATATATATTTCAACCGTTGGTTGTTTATTTATTTATTTGTGTATTTTTTTTTTTATTTGTGACTAGTAGTAGACTACTAGACTACTTTCCGCAGGGGTTCATGGGGCATAAAACGTCCTTATATATGAAAGAATAAAACAGTTCAATAGCTTGACATTCTCAGATTACAGATTTTTATTATTATTATTATTACTTTGTAATCGTTATTGACCATTTAGCCTGACAATCTTCTGACAGCACTGGCTTCAGTCACTTCCAGTTACAGTCCTTCATCTGAGAGAAAGTTTGTGACGTATATGTTGCATCATATACCTGTTTCTAAATGCAAGTGTTCTGTCATTTTCTGTGCTCAGCGGAAGATTATGAGAGATAAAAAAAAAACATGATGTTTATGTAAAACTGCGGCGCCTACATTATTCATTAGTGTACGTCATATGACTTTTTAGAGAACCATAAAGATTTGCATATTCACACTTACAAATAAGCAAGTACCACTGTATATATGAATTTTGCAAAAGAAAGAAATGGGATGAATTTACTGAAACATGAAATGAAAAATAAAACATACACCTAACTTCGAGGTATTCTATTAAGTCACTCACATATTAAAATCATTTTGTGATAAGAATGGTTATGCCTTAAAAAGAGTGGACTCATGGTTGTTTGCTATAACACAGGCCTGCCAACCCTTGAACTCGCGGTTATTTGCTTCTCAAAAGCAATAATAACTGCAACATAATTAGCTATGAAGTAAAACCAGGAAGCTCTTTTTGTGTGTTTAATTAAACCACCAATAGAAGATGTCAGTGGAGCTTCAATCTCAACGTATATTAGGCTGGTGCTGTGTGCTGACCAGTGTAGCTAGCTAGCCAAGACAAGATACCTATGATACAGACTTATATGCCACTTATTGACAGACATGAGAGCTGTCTACAACTATATCTCAAAATTATTTTCATTTGATCAGTATGAGACCTGCAGTTTTGTCTTTTGTTTGTACTCTTTGCCAATGTGTGGTATTTTTTGCTTTGCTGTGTGTTTTTTTGTATTGTTTACAGACCACTTATGTTCAAAAAAAGAAAAATTGTATGTCATCTTTCAAGAGTGCAAAATACACACTAAAACTGGCAGCTCTTGCAGCCATGTTAAGCTTTAAAGTTTATGAAACGTGTTTGTATTTGTCGTCATTTCTCATTTTTTCAGATTTTGTGGTTTAGGGTACGGTGAGAAATTCAGCACAACATTTGTCTTGGCCACTTGGCCACAGCGTTCATTTCTGTCGTTCATAATAAGTCATAGTGTGCCCTAAACCATACCGACAAGTCTGCACAAACTTAACAAAGAGAGTTGATGTGGTTTTGAGCAGGTTGAGAGGAGCGCTTGTATTTACAAAAAAAAAAACTATTTGGGTGACTTTTGACTGGTAGTATTTGTTAGCAATTAGTTGGTTTTGTAGCTCCAGTGCTAAACTAAAGAAGCAAAGTTTGGAGACCAAACACGTCTTGGCTGATCAGCTATATCTTGAGTAAGTGAAAACATATACGTTTGATTTTTCGCTGACAGTTCTTTTAAAACAATACAGTTATTAATTCAGCTACTGAGGTTAAAAAAGTTACTTTTTACCTACTAACAACCATCAGCAATGAACACTGTGGTTAAGAGAGAAGACCAGCAGCACTGCATCACTGAAAGGAGGTCATTACCAAATGTTTATGTATAAAAGGGTTTGACCACTATGTTATCAGGGTTTTATACACCGCTTCAGGCCTACAGCAAGTTATATTTGAGAATTGTGTACTCAAATATTAGCACACTGTCAATGGTGAATGGAGTGACCACTAGGGGGAGCACTGCCCATGCAAATGTGTAAGGTCCTTCTTTAGGGTACAAGCAAGAAGCTGTCTTTCCCATTTGAAAATGGTTTGGTCATTTAAGTTTAGTTTATAGTCTACATGGTCAAGTAACTTGTGTTGAGAACATCTTGCATGCTATATTGAAAATATATTAACCCCTTAAACTCCTAGGGCCCATATGTGGATTCACACTTCACTATGAAAATAACTATATAACTTACTTATTAGGTTTGTGGATGTTTTTCATAGAAGTTACTAAAAAATAACTCTCAAGTTCAGGAGTTACTAAGATGGAAACACAACCTTATTATTATTATTCTTATATTATTCTGCTAAACACAGATGTAAATACATTCATATACAAAAATCCCCCTTCTTTAAATTATATATTTTGTTGTCTTTCTGAGCGAAAATAAGTGAACATCCTCTTTAAAGAACATTCTTCTGAACATTTTAACACACAATTACTGTTTATTTGCTGAATTTAATACATAGAAAACAAAACATATAAACACACACCCATCAGCCTTAACATTAAAATCACTTACTTGTATCTACACTCATTGTCCATTTTATCAGCTCCACTTCATACAGGAGCACTTTGTAGTTCTACAGTTACAGACTGTAGTCCATCTGTTGCTCTGCATACATTGTTAGCGCCCTTTTACCCTGTTCTTCAATGGTTACAACCCCCCGCAGGACCACCACAGAGCAGATATTATTTGGGTGGTGGTTCATTCTCAGCACTGCAGTGACACTGGCGTTTTGGTGGTGTGTTAGTGTGTGTTGTGCTGGTACGAATGGTTCAGACACACAGTGTTGCTGAGGTTTTTAAACACTGTGTCCAGTCGCTGTCTACTCTATTAGACATATCAACCTTGTTGGTCCACCTTGTAGATGTAAAGTCAGAGACAGCAGCTCATTTGTTGCTGCACAGTTTGTGTTGGTCATCCTCTAGTCCTTCATCAGGTCACAGGATGCTACGCTCAGGATCCATTCGGCTGGATATTTTGGTTGGTGGACTATTCTCAGTCCAGCAGTGACAATGAAGTGTTTAAAAACTCCAGCAGCACTGCTGTGTCTGATCCACTCAGACCAGCGCAACACATACTAACACGCCACCACCACATAAGTGTCACTGCAGTGCTGAGAATGATCCTCCACCCAAATAATATCTGCTCTGTGGTGGTCCTGTGGGGATCCTGACCACTGAAGAACAGGGTGAAAGGGGGCTAAAAAAAGTGTGCAGAGAAACAGATGGACTACAGTCTGTAATTGTAGAACTACGAAGTGCAACTATGTGGTAAGTGGAGCTGATAAAATGAACAGTGTGTACTGACAATAATGCTGTGCTTTATCAGTGTATATAAAATGTGGCATGTACATTTAATATGTTATGTTTTACTTTTTTCCATGTTAAACTCAGCAAATAAAAGGAAGCTACTCAGTCAATTTTTTAGAAAAATGCTACATTTAATGCATGTTCCCTGTAGTGGATGTATTAACTTAGGATCACTTAGAAAGCCATCAAAACATGTAATTTGAGCAGGGACATTCAAACCTTTGCATTTGACTGTATACACAATTTTTGAAGAGTCTTCCATGTACCTTTCCACTTTGCTGATAAAATTAAATATGGCCTTTTTTAACTTAGACAAGGGCTACATTTTCCAAAATTATCTCTCATTTTGATGACACTTTACTAAAAGTGGTATTCATAAGGCTACTTAACACTTACATAAGCGTTTCATGACAACTGACATAAACCTACGTAGATATTTACATGCGTCCCTCCTCGTAACACTTCCTGAAGTGAAATCAAATCAGAATTGACAAAAGCAGCCTTTTTGACAACTGACCATTGTTATAATAGGCCTTAATAGATGTTTATAAATGCAGTTTTATATTAGTTGTATAGGTGCCGTGTAGCCTTACGAATGCTGCCTTTCATTAAAGTGTTGCTCACTTTTTTCATTAATGCGCTTGACATTGTTCCCCTCTGACACGGCAAGATTCAGCATTATGTAAGTAAGCCAGTTTAATGATTTGCAAAGACACCATAACAATGAGTGCAATGGTGGAAAGAGGAGAGAGTAATTTCACCGTGTTGTGTGGAGGCCTTCGTATACAACGGTAAATGTGATGAGTATTAAACCACATCTCCACTACTGCACTCTTTGTGTGGGCTTTCTCTCACAATCACACACACAGACATACACACGCGCACACGCATACACACGGACCACAGTGCAGACCTTTGAGCTGGGTGTTTAAGAGAAGTAGGGTGATGGAGGGGCTTGTGGGCAGAATTAATCGTGTAAGAGGCAGACAGGCAGATTCAAACTCACAGCGACAATAACACCAAAGAAGCCACGTGCTTGAAAGCAGACCACCCCACTAACACTCCATGTCAGGTGAGACATTCAGTTCCCACACACTGTCAGGAGTGGGTGCAGAGTCTGCGGCGGGTAGCGTCAGTCGGTTGAAGACATACTAAACGTCCATGCTTACGCCAATGTTGGGAGACCAAGCAAGATTCTGCGCACAAAAGGTAAGTGTCCAAGCTCATTTTCTGATGACATAGGGGGTACTATGGAACATGATGTAGATGTAGATAAATTGTCCAGTTACGTGATACGTTACGGTAGCAAATAATAAACGTGCACATTTATAACTATTATTTTGTTCTTATTATGGGAGGTTTATTGGTTTAAACATGTTTTGAGGTGTATTCCATACAGCTTGGTTCTATCGCTTCGGCCCAGGAATGATGAAGTTTTTGGTAGGAAGTAAAAAAACATGACGTTCAGATAATCCACTGTAAAACTGCTGCATGCAGAGCACTGTTACTTTTTGTTGCTCAACATTTACTGATATAGTAGCTTAAAAACTATTGTTCTGTTCAGGATGGATTACACTATAAGGCATTAACTTGGACATAAAGTTATCCATAAATTGTTACACATAGTACTACAGGTTGAGTTACACTTAAGATGTATGCTATACCGTCCTGAATTGATATGAAAGTGTTGTATTTTGACCTTATCTATCTTATATATCTCAGAACTGTTTTAGAGACAGATATAGATCTTTGGCCACTGGTTTAGGTGACTGTTAGAACGGATGTGAGACAAGATATTAATCATAGAATCTTAAATATCTATTTATAAACAGTCCTCTTAGTATACTAGAGAGCTGCTTAGGGGGAACAACACTGCAAGATCCATTGCTAAAACATACAGCTCACATTCAGATATTCAACGCCAAAAGCAACCACAAACTGTAGTACACAAATGAATGATCAACACTTCATACATACACTCCTGCCACTCTTTCAAGGAAAAAAAACACCAGCTGCAGTCTCTAGCTACCAGGCCTCGTTTTCTGTTCACAACTGTCCAGAAAATAACATAGAAATACACTTCAATGAGGGAACAGGTGCCATTTGGTAAAAGAAACATTAGATGGCAAAAAAGAAGAAGTTTAAGAGGGGTTAGTTACTGAAAAGCTGCATCTAAAATTAGACGGTTAATAAGCAGCAGGTGCGGCTCTGGCTAAGGCCTCAGGAGATTGCAAGCCAGGAAGTCTTCATCCTGCCTTGAGCTCCAAAGCATTGACTGCACACCATGCAGTGAAACCAAAAACTGAAAATCAATTCTTTCAGTGTTATTGTTGTTGCAGTTTTTCCAGTTACAGCTTCAGCAATGTACAACGTCTGACATGCCAATTTGAACAACTGAATATGGGCTCCTCTTTATGTATGTATGAAGGTATAAGAGACAGGCAAAAAAGAGTTTCTCTGAGGCTGGCCCTGTGAGGTGGTGACAGCGACACAGCAGTAGAGCAAACGTAGATGTATTTTTAGTTGTTGAACACGTCAGATCTGCTACTCCACTCTTCACTGTTTTCAGCCCTTTCAAGTATCAGCTGGCCTGTCGAGTGGCATCAACCAGAGAATCCAAACTAACTTGAAAAAGTACAACGTAACGTCGCATAGGTTTGCATTTCAAAGTTGTGTTTATCATGGAACAACCTTCTGTGCTACATGGAAAGAAATAGTTGAATTTACATGATTCACATATGTATGTTGGTTCCACACAAATAAAAAGTTGAAGTTAGATTAAGAACTTATTGCATGCTTGTTAAACCAAAGTAAACATTTAAATTATGTCAATTTAAGGCAACATTTAAGCAACATTTATATCAGTGTATGCTCACTCTTAAAAATAAGTTTGCCAGAAAGCGTTCTATGCACAATGTCATAGGAGAACAATTTTTTGTTCCCTAAAGAACCTTTCAGTGAATGCGTTTTAAAGAACTGTTGTAAATGAGATGTGTGAGTGTGGAGCCCTTTAATAAAATAAAAAAAAAACTCAACATAATATAAAAACAGTCCTGAGAAGAACCCTTAAATTGATTGGAATCTTTTATATTACACCTACGAAAGATTCATCAGACTCACACATTTCTTTATAAAACACAGTTCTTTAGGGAACCGAAAGTCGTTCTTTTACGGCATTGCACAAAGAACACTCTGTGGAAACTTTTTGTTTTAAATGTGTGGAAGAACCACTTTTGGTTCCCTGAAGAAGCTCTTAATGTTTTGTTCTGTAAAAAATTACTTTTGTGAGATGAGTGTGAATAGCCTTTTTAGTTTAAAGTTTCAAGAATCTCTGAATAATTAAATGAAAGGTTCTTCCTAGAACTGTATGTCCAAGCTAGACGTCTTTTGTTCTCTTACGAGAAACATGCTAATTCTTATGAATTGACAGTTGTGAAATTATATTGAACCACATATGAAGCTTGGCAGAGGATATTTACGGGTTTAAGGCCATTATGCTTATTTGCATGTATTCACTTAGCAGGTGTTCTTATATACAGGAGCTTACAATTCAAAATAAGGTACCCAAAGAATCTGCGAGGATCTATGACCTCCATGACCTTTATTCAACCCTGCAAGATCAATGACCTCTACCAAAGCTTGCTGTAATTAAATAAGTATAGTTCTTAAGGACAAAGAATGTGATTAAGTCAAATTAAACCTAAACAAAAACAAGTAAACACAAATGTTAAATACCATTAAAAGTTAAATGTTATCACTTTTTGTTATTATTCACATGCTGACCACAAGGCACATGTAGTTATAAATCTGGACTTCAAAGGTTCATGAAGGTTAGCCACTTAAAATCCCAGGCTTACACACTAAGTCTTATTATATGGTAACTACAGGAACTTCAATGCAAACTGGCTAAACTACTCTTAGGTTATAGAAGTGTGTGAAATAACTTTGGGCCCATCGGTGGGCCCTGGCCATTTAAGGGTGTTGAAGGGGCTTAAATGAAGTGCAATAAAGTGCAGAAAGCTGTTACATATGTGACATGTGCCATCTGTGCTGACCATGGCCTGATGTGTCTAGGGACAGCATAGATGGCACATGGCACAACTGAGACCCAAACGATAGCTGCAGATAGTAGTACACACTATAGCATAGAAAAAGAACTAGGCTTATTTACTTTAATATAACCACCATTGGGGTAATGTTTGCAACATTAGACTAGTGCAACATGAAGTTAACTGCGTGATACTTTCAGATTCTATAAACTGCTATTGAACTACGATAACAGTTGACATCTCTGAGAGAATATGGCAATAACAAACAGTTGTCGACCAAAGCGGAGCATCACAGAAATGTGTGAAAAGTGTGAAAGATTATCTCAACTAGACACTAACTCTTAACACTTAGAAGCAGTACGTGAGGAACAAACCCTGTCGCAAAAAACAAAATCTATTTTTTATATAATTCATATAGGGTAACAAGACATTATCTTTCTTATTTCTGTCTGACATAAGACATGCTCTGATTAATACTATATCCTAAATAACACGTTATTTATGGCCCAAATATATGTTGTTACCTAAGGCGTAAAATTACCTTAAGCGCTGCTATAAACGTGTCATAGAAACATTCTTTAAAAGAAGAAAAGCTGTGGCATCTGCCACCATGGCTGAAATATTAGACCAAAAGCTACTGATTGAAAAGAAACACAAACATACAACAATAGTGCCAAAAGGCCAAAATGCCATAGATGAACCTATGGTCCCTTAAAAAAAACATTGAAGTGGACATATTTTTAAAGAGTTATTTTGTTGTAAACCAAAAAAAAAGATGTGTAAACTGTTTTAGAGTTTAAAAAACACTGTATAATGTAAAGGTTTCATACCAGTAAACAAATAAAGTTTTTCTTTTCCTAGAATTGTATGTGCACAGCAATTACTACTTAAGAACTTTTGTTTTGAAGAGTATTCAGTACCATGTGTCAAACCAAGCCAAACTTCATTATCTTCTTCAACACAGGCCTCTAAAATCTGCAGGTTTCTTTGTAATTGTTTTAGAGGGGTGTTTCAGGACCATTAATAAAAAGACCACAATTCTCCATTGGCCCCCCATTGGTGTGTTTGTCATGTAGCTTTTATGTAAATCTGTGGTAAAGTTCATAAAGTTTGTGTAGGCTACTAAATAATTATGTCACCATCTTAGTAATGAAATAAATTTCCCATTTGAGTCATACAGAATAGAACTGCAAACTGAACTAACAAACAAACAAATAAGTGAATAAGTGAATAAAATAAATAAGGAACAGGAAGGAGGAAAGTTGACCTGTGGGCATTTAATGAGCACAAACTTGTTATGGACAGAGTCTTTTATGGACACCTCTGGGGTACTTAAAGGGGAATTCCACAGATTTCTCAAAATTTCTACAGCTGAGATATAAACAAAGTCATTCTGACTGGATTTGATGTGAAATGGTGCATTGTAGAGAAACTTACTGACTCAGATTTCTTTACAATGATGCTGATAGGAACCAGAGGTCATGTTTGGGATGCCTACAGTGCAAACATAGCCATTTTAATTACGATCCAAAACAATCAGTGAACCTACATGTGTCTTCTGAGTGTTTATATGCAGTTTTAATGATTGTAAACTAGGAAAAATATGTTGTCTTTTGAGAGACAGAAAAGGAAAAAAAAATATTTCAAAACTAGTGTAAAACAATGTCTCAGGTATCAGCCAGCATATCTGTAATCATTTCATGTAATACCTTGTTTAGAGGTATCAAACTCTTGACATCATCACTACCAGTGTGAACAATTCTGACTCAGTAAGTTTCTATAAAACACTGCTTTTTAATCAAACCACTGAATGACTTTGTCTGAATGACATCACCTTGTCAGAAAGTACTAGCTCACACTTAGGTGGTATATAAAGGCAGTATATCTGTGCGTAACAGCAGTTAGCTAGACTTAATGAAAAAAAGGTTTCCTAAAGTGTTATAATTCACTCACTTGTGAGAGGAAATAAAACTTATCTCTAAAAGTGTCTTAATGCTAATGACTTAATTACTAGCGGTTTAGAGCACAAGGTGCTCTATTATTGTGCTTTAATCTTATTTATACAATTACAGTCTCAAGACCTCTTTTTTTAAAGCCCCAGTCAGGAACTATTTTAACAGCCCCAAAGGTAACACTAATTTAGTGCACAGTAAGTTCATGGTAAACGTACATATTGTGCATATTATTGGTGACTTTTTCCTGACTGGAGCTTTACGAGGTACGTATTATGTTAATTTTAATGATTTGTAATTGGTGGTATTTTCATAAATGTAGGCACATTTTCTCTATAGGAGTATTAGTAAAACATTACATGTCCATGACCAGTTGGATGGCAACACGTTGGTTGATCTCACACAAAAAGACTGTTCCTCAGCGTTCTTCGCTAGCAGACCTGTGAACCCACAAAGCTATACAGTTCTACAGGTTTGATGATAGTGAGTCAATAGGTTAAATAAGTATAAACGGTTTAGTGCTCTGGATCACAAAAGCTGGGAGTGAAGAACACTACAAAGACTGTAAACAGTATCGGAGCTTGATCACACAAAGTAAACCTTAATGATCCTAAAACACATACTTGGGGTACTCCTTCTTTTGCGTTAAATTAAATATTGTCTTCAAAGACCTATACCAAGCTGTATACCTGTGGTGCACCGTGACTGTTGGTGGTCGAAGCCACGAAGATCCAAAATTGAAAAAAAAAAAAAACCTCTACAATGATGCTAATTGCGATGGAGTTTGTAATACTGTGTTAGTGCTAAGCTAACTCTGGTGCACTGGCCATTCTATATTAAAACAGACATTATCAAATATTTTATGTTGCAGGAGTTTAACATTGACTTTTTCAGTAAACAGCCCTGGCACAGCACTGCCACATCTGTTTTCCATTTCTAATGAGTCATCAGGAATGTTCTATGACTGACAGAAACTTGCAGTCAGTCAGTTATCTAGGACTTCCAGAAGGGCTAAAGTGGCAATTTCCACTACAATTTGACCCACTCACTGTAAACAAAAACATGATTGGTTAATTCCACTGTCACTTCCGAATTATGTTGGTTTTTTAATTATCCAATCTAAATCTCTACTATTCTTTGCACTAGCTTAAGTTATGCGCAAATGTGCAGATTTTGAAGTTTTCCGTTGGGTGTTTCAGGATTTTAAACCATTTGTTCCCAACTCAAACATAAGAGTATTACTTCAATACTTGCGGAGTTTAAATCTAATAATTCACGTTTAATAAAAAATGAACAAGGAACTGAAATTATAAGCATGTATTTTTAATACCCAGAAATCAGCAGTCTCTGAACACACTGCTGAATACTCTGAAGTCAATCGTGTGTTATTTACTGTAGATTTCTGTGTTTAATTTAATTCTTTGAACAATAACATTTAAAACATTCAGAGTTGCTATATTGTCGCTATATCGTTACTCTTCATCATAACGGGTAAATCATTTGACACTTCTAGCTTGCTTTCTGATGGTGTTAACTGATACGCACGCCTATAGTGCATGTAGCTTGTCTCATTGCTGTGGTTTTGCACATGCATCTACATTCCTATCCCCTCATGAACGAGGCCTTATTTTCTCATTCAATTGAACAGACAATCAAAGTGGTCTAAGTGGCTTTCTGCTTGGTCTGAGCATCTGTTTCATTTGCCCTGTTTTTCATTTCAGTCTTTATTACTATCAGCCCTGATCTCTTACCTGTGAAGAGGGCTTAATAGATGAAACGGGTGGGTGGGTGTGTGTGTGTGTGTGTGTGTGTATGTGTAGGGGGTCGGGGGGAGGGGTCGGGGTGGAGGATGTGGTTAGCCAGTAGCAGCAGACACACTCAACAAGCGAAGAGAGTGGACAGGGTCAAAAGTCAGAGACCCAAACAAGGAGGTGGAAATGTGGAGGCTGGTGTTGAGTGGGATGAGGGATAAATTAAAGAAGTCGCAAACAGGCCTATATGGTTCCATTACTGCATGTTTTCCACAAGTCTTGTTCTATAGTTGATGTTACCTGTTTGCCCTCCACTGAATCATGTCCACTCAGTTTATGCCTAGCATGGCACCTATTTGACTAAACTGATCAAAAAGAATCCTCCTGATCAAAAAAGAACTCTAAAAACTCTATAAATTAGTCTAAAGCAAGACTGCAGTTTGCCAGTGATTTCACAAGGGAAGGAAGTCAACATGGCAAATACAGCTGATTTGACTATCTCACAATCTATTTCTTCTTCTTCTTCTTCTCTCTCTCTCTCTCTCTCTCTCTCTCTCTCTATTCAGTTTTCCCAGTCTAAGCCTACAAAGTAGTGTGGGGGCTACAATTATCTGAGTGCTCCCACAATGTCTGTCTGAAACATCAAGTCAAGTGGAGGAGTGTGGGCACAGTCTAACACATTTTGTTTTTTGCTTAACAATTTTATGAGCATTTGAGCAAAATTAATCATTTTAATACAAGCAACCTACAAATCTCAGTAATACAAAGTGGTGTGAGTGTAAACATTACTAGCTCCACTGTTAAATAATGTAACAATCACAAAAAAAAGCTCTCCAAGCTAAAAATGTTAAAAAGATATATTCATCAGAATAAATCATTATAAAGTGTTTAAAAACATGACATATTTATTTTTGACCACGAGGTAGAAAATAAATATCAGTACAATAAAATTTACATGGTGCATGGTGTCCATAGTATGTAAGAAAAAAAACGCATTCATATGGGGAGATATGGAGTCCTCTCGTTTCCTGAGGCTTCGTTGTAACACTGCATAACTAACCCTGCCGTGTGGAGGCTGTACTTTTGCCTGGCTAGCACTCGCAGCAACAAGAATGTGAATAAAATAAGTTTGAATTCTGTGACTTACACTTTTTCAGGGTAAATCTCTGCAAACTCTCCAACTACTGTGAACAGTTGTAGATGATGTTGTTATGGAAATGTAAAAACATGACTAAAACCACTTTGAACTCGGATTACATAGAATATCCCTGTTAGTTTTTATTCTGTGATAGTTTGTGCCCCACTCTCCCCTAGTGAGTATTTGTAAATCTAGCTTGGGCCAAAAGCCAATTAAAAAAATTGAGGCAATATTTATGTCATCAGCATCATAAGCAACTGTAACTTAGGTTCTATTGCCTTATTAGGCATACTGCGATTACTGCAGTTATTTTTTATTACTGATTCCTTTATACTACAAACTAACAGTAAGCTGAATTTTCTGTCGTAACCTGAACACACGACATACAGAAGCTTTGAGGCATTCAGATGAGTTCTCATACACTTTGTCACAACCACAAGGGGAATTTTCCTTCTTCATTACACCTCTGTTGCTCATACAGACCATTACAGGAATGTAACTATACATTTGGTTCATGAAACCAAGGTTTTGTGAAGCTCATGTAACTGTGGTCAAAGGCAGGCACTGAAGAGATCCTCAACAGAGATATACTACTGTCTCCGTGGGTGATAACTCTTTAAATCTTTAAATCAGTTTTTTTTTTTTTAAATCTATGTAGTGTCATAGGGTCTCATATAAGATAACTCATACCTCACAGTCATACCATAAAACCGGCATCTTTTTATGTTTACTTTCATTATAGGTACAAGAAGCACTGAGAAGGTAATTGAGGAGTGATCAAGAAAAAACAAGCAAGCACCACAGCGAACACTCTGAAGCTGAAGGCAGGGACATTCTTGACCCTGCTGATGCTGGGTACAATGCAATCTGCCTTCTTGCGGCTGAGGGGGGAAGCCGAGCAAGAGCCCGAGGACCCCTCTCTTAGAGGCCTAGGTCTGCGTCGCAAGCGAGAATTCACCCCAGACGAAAAAAAGGATGCTTCCTACTGGGAAAAACGGCGCAAAAACAATGAGGCAGCCAAGCGTTCACGAGAGAAGCGGCGGGCGAACGACTACATGCTGGAGACACGGCTTGTGGCGCTAAGCGAGGAAAATGCAGCTCTACGGGCCGAGCTACTGGCTTTGAAGCTTCGCTATGGTATCCTCACTTCTAGCCCCCCTTACACCGCCCCCCAGAGAAGCTTCCTTCAGATGCATCCATACTCCCAGCAAACTCCAAACGCCTTTCCAGACAGAGAGCTCTACTGGGACAGAAGGAGTCAAGAGCCATCCCAATTGCCTGGATACCAACGACCTTCTGCTCTAGCGGCACACCCCGGCTCAAACTTTCTCCCCACACATTCCATGAACATCAGCAGGCCCTATCCTTACCTTTTAGACGTCCCTGGCCTCCTTCCCTCTACAAACAGCTCCATGCTCTTGGCCCCTGTGTTCCCTCCGTTGGCTGCATCCTATGCAGATCTTCCACTGCTGAGGCCCAGAGGACAGAGGGCCACGTCAGACGAGGAGGGCGAGCAGCAGGTACCGGCTGACGCCAGTGCCGCTCTGCCTCACAAACTGAGGCTGAAGAACACAAAAACGGCAGAGCACAAAGACAATTCAGCCACCACTACATCCCCAGGCCCTATATATGTGTCCGACTGAAAACAAACCAAACTGGAAAGAGGACATCTGTTAAACTTTGCTAGCAGGCTAGTTTATGTGGACTAGGAGGTCACTTAGGAGGTCGCCTAGGTTGGCTAGTATGTGGACATGTGGTAAACTTTTCAGGACATTGAGATACAAATCCCCATGCAAAGAATATTTCAAAAAAGACTGAGAGAGACGATTTGTTCCACTTTTGCTTCATTTTCTCCCAGTGTTACTTTTACCAAGGTCCACAGTTGTAAGCCGCCCCAGGCAACAGCATCACCAATGCTACCAAAGATTAGGGCTAACACATGACTTCTTGCAATGCATAGGGATGAGCATTTCAATCGAATTTAATATCTGAATTGTTAAGGCATAATTCCAGGGGTCAAAAATTTAGGAATCTTAAGGATTCAGGCCACACATGGGATGTGTCTAGAGACAGTGACCAGAGACAGTGCTGCCACTCAGCATCTTGGTATTACTGTACTATATTAAACCCAGAACACCAGTCCACAGTAGTTGACATGTGGCTTGAAATTCAAGCTAAGGTCTTCACCTGGGAAACGGAGTTTGTGAAGATTCAGTTAGCTAAAACCAAACCTGATAAATTTACTAAATGATGCTGAAAGTTTTTTTCCATTAAATTTATAGAATTCAAGTTCAAAATGAGCTTGAGTTTCATGTTTATCTGCGCTTTTCTGTGACACTTGCTATGTGCTATAGCTGCGCTTTGTACTATCTGCCATCTGGCAGTAGAGATCCTCTGGTGACACAATGGAGAGTTTCTTGTCTGGTACACAGTAGCATTTAGCTGGTTTTAGTAGCCTTTCTATGCTTCCTTCTTTAGAATAAACAGATAAGAAACTGTCCAAAATGTAAGACACAGGTTCTTTATTTCCCTCTGGTGGAGTATAGAGTTCAGACATCTTATGGTTCTTATAATAATGTTTAATGTTAGAGACAGGTTTATCTGCATATTGAAAAAGCTAATTCATTTTTTACAACGTTCATGACTATTTGAATATTGAAACATTCTGACTCATCCCTAGCAATGCACATGAGGTATTGCACCAAACTAGGCAGTCATAAACAGAGGGGCAGGGTTTGACTGGTCAAGTGTTCCCAGCAAGGCCTAAGAGATGGCAAAATGCTGTAAATCCTGTGTGTGCCAAAAAGTGTTTCCTACTTTCCAAATTACATTCAATATACAAGCTTATGGAGAATATTTACATTCAAAATGGAAGTTTATGGAGGAGTAATAAATTTTTTTACTGAGATTGAAGAAGTTTGGGTTTTTTGTTTGTGTTTTAAAGTGTATAACATTAATTATTCCCCCAGTGACCATTTGTTTTCAGGAGTGCAAACGTAAAAAAATATTTTTTCCATATATCTTAGCTTTTATGCCATTGCTCATTCACAGTCATGGAGAAATTAAGTGTGGCTGTTGCCATGATCACTGAGTTTAAGACATGGATTCTCACATTTCTACCATTGTTAGTCACATGAAATGTATGACGCACCATTACTATAAGTTCCCATGAAGCAAACATAGCTGAGGACACATACATTCAGGGTGTGCTTGTACTGCTGAGCAAATCTCATTGAAATGAATGAGTGCTAATGCTAATGGCTTTCCTCGAGTGCAATAATATCTCCATAGTTGTAAAGGAGAGATGGTCTTCCATCCTTGCCAGTCTGTTGATGCTGTCCTCTTAACAATCCCTTTGCAGGGAAATTTTAAATGGTCTTATTTTCCATTTTATTTCTCCTTTTTACAACACTTTTTTGCAACATCTTACCTACTTTCAAACATAACTGATAACACGAAATGATGAAGTCATCAGTTGAGTCATGGAGTGTCAGATTGCTTCAAGGTATTGGTAGTTGTTCCAAGTACTTTGTAGTGTGTAATGGTTACATGATGATGAATAACTACTCCAAAAACAGAGATTATTATGAAATTGAAAAAAAAAATGTGATAGAAAAAAGAGTGACTCACCACGTCGACAAAGTTGAAGCAGTTCAAGGCGACATGGGGGTGTAGTGGTTAGCACATTCGTCTCTTATCATCAGGGTTGTGGGTTCAGTCTCCGTCTGGGTAGAGTTTCCATGTTCTCCCCGTGGCTGTGTGGGTTCCCATGTTCGAAAGACATGGATGATTGGGTGGCTAGCCATGCTAAATTGTCCTGGTATGCGTGCCCAGCAGTGGTATGACACCTTGGCCTCTAGGAAATCATAGAGGTGGGTCTTTGATCATGATCAGCAGCTAGTGAAAATGAGTCAAACAGCCCAAGAATCTAATATGAAAAGGCCTATAAAAAATATTAGTCAAACAAAAGTCTTTGAGACAAAATACTGATAAGTGATCATTTTTCCAATTTTGCACAATTAAAGACTTACGATGTAAAAAAAAAGTCATTCAGAGTGGTTTGATAAAATGCTCTGCTCTAAAGAAACCTACCCGAGTCAGAATTATTCACAGCATTGCTGATAGGAACCAGACGTCTGATGCCTCCCTTGCAGAAAGCTATTACATAAAAAGTTTACCTGACATTGCATGATGCTTGAAAGGAAAGTCATGAGATTAGCTTTTGGCCTAAATTGCATTTTTTAACATTAAAAATATAAAAACTCAGAAGACGTGAATGTTGGATAGGGAATATCATTGCTATTCTTGCTTAGATATCAAGACCTCTGGTTATCACTACCACTGCAGGGAAATTCAGGGAAAATACTTTGAATAACTTTATTTTACATCACAGAAATTTCTCAGAATTTCTTTACAATCAAATAAATACGTTGTACATCTGGTACTTGGTAAATATAGATTCTGTTATTTGATCAGACCTTTTCATGTTAGTCATCATGTGTACAATTGGCAGATTCAGAAAATGTATTAAGCTACATTTCTTCTACAATCCATTTCATTTGTGAAAACTTATGAAAATGACTAAACTAAACATGTAAATTTATATGAAAGAGTGCTCAGAGATGTAGCTGCATGCATCACAGCACATTTCTGCAGAAACATTATGTTGCTGGGGGGGACATGCTAGTTTGTTTCTCAAAAAAGCCACAAAAGTTCAAAAAAAACAAGCAGTTATGGTCTGAAAGTCTCACTTTCAAGGTTGGTCACATCAAAGCTGCAGATTGGTTTAAACTCTGATGTGTGCTCTTTGTGTTCAGGCACAAGCTTCCAGCTTTCATTACAGAATGAGCATTTAAACTCCTGTTTGAAAAAGGCCTTAATATACAGTCCCATGGCACTGAATATAGGTGTAGTTCTCAGCATTTAATACTCAGAATTTACACCAAAGTGACACTTGAGGTGCCTTTTCCTGGCCAGAACAGTGGATGTTAACAAAGCCGCAGAAAAATAATTCAAGTCGACTTCTGGTAGTAGTTGCGTAATCCTTACCACGTGTAAAAGATATTGACAGTCGACAGTGTTGATTAAACCATTGTTAGACAACCCCAAACATAAAAATATTATAGAATAAATTTGTTG